TAATTTTAAAGATAAAATATGTTAATGGTGCCATTGTTAAGTGTAGGCATAGTTTTGTCCAGGTTTTTCCAATTGATGAAAAAGATCTGGTCTTGTAGTAGAAGGAATAATGGCAAGAGTTGTAAAACACCAGATCTTTTGCTATGATTTTTTTGTCCTTATGTAATGCTTCTGTGTACTGACTCTGCATCGATTTTTTGAAAAATTTTTAAAGGAAGCTTCACCTTTTTATTGAACTATAATTTTTGTTTCAAAGAAAGCATTCCTGTTTTACTTGAAATTTGTTTTACCCTGTATTATTGCAGATTCTTAACATCAATTTCAACATTGATATGTTCAAATTTCTCATGTAAATTTTTTCTAACAAAAGGTTATTCTGTTGTCCCTTTGTTACTCTTGAGGATTGTGGAGGTATAAACATTCTATAAACATCTGTTAAAATTTTTAATGGTGAATATTATTCTTGGAGGATATCCAAAAATATGTATAGTTCAGAATTCAGATTTTTAAAAATAATTCTGAAATAACCATAATACACCAAGCAAAGTACTATTATTTTGGTGTGAGGAGCAGTCTGTGACAGAATGGAACACTGTTATTTCAGTCATTAGTCTACCTACTGACAATTTCTGGCTCTCGTTTCCCAGAAGCACAAGCTTAAATCTAGAGCAGCTCTCCTTAGTCTTTCCTCTGTGCTTTTGCAGTGACTAACATTATAAACATGTGGGTTTTCCCTTTGTAGAAGACTCATCTAACAGTTGTAGCCAGCCTAGGGATCAGGGGACCAGAGTGTGGTTGCTGCCATTCTAGCTGTTTGACCGTGGGCATGTCATTTAATGTGTCTGTGCCTCAGTTTCCTCATTTGTATAATGGAAATGAAACTAAATGTCCTTAACAGGGTCCTCCACTACTAAAATTCTCAGTCTTTGTACTTAATGGATTTTGTGGTCCAGGCTAAAAATCTGGATGCTGACGAAAGAGTGAGGGTTCATTTGGATGTCTTTCTCCATCAGAATAATTGTTGTAATATTTTCTTCTGCAGTTTTTCCTATGATGGCAGATGGAAGCAAAAATTACAGACATCTGTGGACTTTCCGTTAGAAAATCTTGACTTGTCACAATATGTTATTGGTCCAAAGAACAATTTGAAGAAATATAACTTGTTTTCTGTTTCAGTAAGTATCTCCTTGAACTAAAGACTTCTTGTTTCAAAGCAAACTAACAAAACCACCAGGAGTTTTCCCAGAGTAAGAACAACATAAATTGTTATTTAAAATATATCAATTTCAAAGCTTTAAGCTGAATTGATTTTCTGTCTTATTTGGCACAGAATCACTACGGCGGGCTGGATGGAGGCCACTACACTGCCTACTGTAAAAATGCAGCAAGACAGCGGTGGTTTAAGTTTGATGATCATGAAGTTTCCGATATCTCCATTTCGTCTGTGAAATCTTCAGCTGCTTATATCCTCTTTTATACTTCATTGGGACCACGAGCAACTGATGTAGCCACATAAAGAGACATAGGTTATAAGCTAGTTATCTTTTAAAAGTCTCAGCAACACAACTCTTGAAATGCTTATAAAGACAATGGAAAGCTGTAGCCGGCCACTTAGAGGAATCCTAGGACAGTGGGAGCTGTGTTACTAGTACCATATACTTCGGGTCAGTGCTATTATCCAACACTGACAAATAACATTTAACAAGTATTGCAGTAAGCATCCCTTACAGGTACCATTTATTTCAAAACAACTTTTTTAGTCTGCTCCAAAGTTAAAATAATAAACTAGCTAAGCATTATTATTCTACTAATCTCAAAAACATTGTATCCCTTTTTTTCCCTTTTCACTGTTATGGCCTTTTTACATTTCTAAATCCCAGCTTGATGTACTATGAATACTCCAGAATGATGTAAAGCAGATAGGCATGTATGTGTACATAATTATTGCACACTTGCACATCAAATCGATGTACATGGTTTAACATGTGGTCCTTTTCTGAAGCCTAGAACTCAGAGGATTGCTTTTTTTTTTTTTTTTTTTTTGGCCTATTCTGAGTAACTGCAGTGCTTTCTTAGGGAAATGACAGGGCAAAGCTATTTTTCTGTTGGCTTTGGGCTGTATTTGTGCACTAAATCTTTATTCTAAAAAATAAATGGAAACTTTCTTTAATTCTTTTAAACTGAGAATTTCATTTACACCTACATTAAAATCTTTAATGTTGTATTATCAAACATAGGACAGTAGAACCATAGATTTTTACACACACACACACACACACACACACACACACACACACACACACACACACTCACTCTCTCTATACCACACTTTATCCCACCTGATTGATTTTAAATTTAGTGCACTTATCCTGTTGACTCGGGACTCAATTCCATTGTTCCTTCAACTTGACACCAGAACTCCGTATAGCGCTTCTGAGTCTCAGAGTTGGAAGTCAAAGATATATAACTTAATACCCAGACTCACTCTTTTCAGAGTAGCAGAGTCCTCAAAGATTCTTCAGAATTAAGAATATTAATTCTTACGGTAAAAGGGATAGCAAAGTGAATTATGCATTACGTACAGCATGAACCACATCTTTACAGAGTGATATATTAAAAGAGATAAAGGAGCTTGGAATTTATCATTTACCTCAGGGACTTAGCTGCTGTATACGAAGTCAATAAACACTCCATATAAAAATACGATGCTAAAATGCTTCTGAAAGATGTCACCATTAGTAGGTTCTCAGGGAGAAGATTAAAGGATGGGTTTTGAATTGTGAAGTTGTCTTGTCAACTTTTCATGTTTTACAATTAGTCTAAGACAACATCTTGACTAAATTATTGTATCAATTAAAAATTTTCAGATCACATTCTTAAGTTCACAGAGCCATTTGAACAAAAATTGTTTTTGTTTAACTCCATGAAGTATCTTTGGAAAATAATTTGTCGAATATATACAATTATGAGATATTTTATGATAGAAATCCACACTAATAAACATTGAATTTTGAAACTTGAACTCAATATGTAATCTACATGTTTTGAAGGCCTTTATCCATTAGTATTGTACTATCTCGACACTGCCTTTTTCAATCTTTTTTGCTATAAACTTACCTTATAAAAGGTTGCACTACATGTTAGAAAGACTTAAAAATGTTAGTGATGCAAGTAAGTTGTAAGAGTTTAATGACAACACAAAACTTTACTGCCAGTTTCTGATTGCTTGTTTTGCAGTGCTGAGGAAACACCATTTTCCTAGCTCTTGCATTTTTGTATAGGTATAGAAAAGGGCTGGCAGCTATAGAACAGGAGATACGCTGTAGCGGTTTGAACTGAAGTATCTGGAATCTCACTGACTCGTGTGTCATCAAAGCTATACCAGGCCTGGGTGCCTGAGTTCTTGCAGAAAGCAGTGTAGTGGCCACCATCCAGATCACCAAAGTGGTTCTAGGGGAGGAAGGAAAGTCAGACTTAGTATTCACATGCAAACACTCTAATTACTGGAACAAAAAAGATAGGGCCAAAAAATACTTTTTAAATTGTTCCTTACACTAAATTTAAAAAGAAGACAATTTTGTTAAGTTAAATTATATATACAGCCTATTATTTTTCGTTTCATTGGAATTGCTTGTATGTTGTGCCCACTATTTAACATCTGCAAATGGAGTAGGACAGTACTTGGCAGTATCTGATAAATATTTGTAGTTAATATTTACTCAACACTTACTGGACATCAATTATTAAACATTAAAGGAAATTTTAAAAGAAGTCATCTTTCCTAAACTTATAATTTAATTTTATGGATAGGCTAAGACAGAAAAAGACATTTACCATTGGAATAAGACATTTAAACAACTGCATATTGCTATAGCACAAGTTGAGGGGGCCGGGTAGTAACAACCCTCTCAATCAGCTAGGGTCCAAAAAAGAATATGTCCCATTCTCTTTTTCTGTGTCTTTTCCTGACCTAGTAAAGGACTGTTTGAAACAAAGACATTGGAGAAGCTTTCTTTGGAGGTGGTATGGTATACTACAGGGGTCAGCAAACCATGGCTCATGAGTAAAATCCAGCCTGTTTTTTGTATGGCTCTTAAGAATGGGTTTTATATTTTTTTTTCTCTACTTGTGATTTTTCCAAGCAAAAGGGTTTTATATTTTTATATGGTTAAAAAAATCCAAATAATAGTTTGTTACATATAAAAATTATATGAAATTCAAATGTCAATGTCCTTAAAGTTTTATGAGAACACAGCCATGCTCATTTGTTTATATTTTTCAGTGGCTGCTTTAACACTACAACAGTAAAATTAAATAGTTGCAGCAGAGACCATATGGCCTACAAGGCCTAAATTATTTACTATCTGGCCTTTTATAGAATAAGTTTGCTGTCCCTTGGTGTAGATGGAAGAAAATGGTTTATTCATTTATTTAGTGGTGGGGTCTTGGCTATGTCGCCCAGGCTGGACGTGAACTCCTGGGCACAAGCGATCCTCCCTTCTCAGCCTCCCAAGTAGCTGGGACTATAGGACATGTGCCAGTGCACCTGGCTTGAAAATGGATTTTTATAGTCAGTGTCACCTGTGAATTCAGGTATACTACTACTCAATGACCTCAGTGAAATCAACCTTTCTGAGCTTTAATTTCCCATCTATTAACATGGGAATAAGACTTGTCTTATACAGCTGTTATTAGATACCTCATGTATTATAGAGCTAGCACACAGGACCTATTTATTAAGTGTTCCCTTAGACCTTCATCTATCCCACCTCTGCCCTTTACATGTAATAAAAATATCCCCAAACAGACATTTAAAAGATCCAGTTTCTGGTCCTGGTCCTGGTCCTTGCCATGTGACCTTAAGCTAACAGCATCGGCTTCCTTATGTAAAAAATGGTGCCCATAATAGTGTGATACAATTCAACTGAGGAAAAAAACATCTGGTGGATGTGTAGCACCCAGATGAAGTAATGTTCTGAAATATTTAGACCATAGAGTATTCAGTTTTGATGAATTAATGTTAAAAATATTTTGACATAATGAAAAAGCAAAACATCTTTCTGGACTTCCATTTCCAGCAATTACAGCAGACATTTTCCTAGCCTGGAAGGCTTACTGTTAAAAAATTGTAAGGGATGCTGGATAAAACCTAGTAAACACCCTTTGAAGTGTATAGCTGACTTTGAAGATAGTAGAGTAAGGGTAATCCCTAGGGGCCAAAACAGGAAATTTAAGAATAGCATTGTGTGTGGTTAATGCCCTATGACTGCCTAGGAGTAAAGATAGTCCCTGGTCTTTGTAACCAGGGTGCTTGGGTTTTAAAGGTCATAGGTCTTTGGCCCCTGCAAGGTGAGAAGGTGGATTGAGATCCACATTTGAAGCTAGGACCCTTACAGAGATTCTCTCTCAATGAAAGGGTAAACTAGAAGAAACAAATGTCCCCTCTCTAGTGCTTGTGTTAGCTTGGACTCTGGGTACAGAGAATAAAAGTCATTCCTGGGAATTGCTTACCACAGACCTGTCTTCTCACCACTTTGGGAATCAAATTTACACTACCTGTGTGGTCTGGTAATCCTGGGAATATGAAAATATTTCTGGGGTTTTGGCAGAAAGAAACAATCTCTTTCTGAATTGATACACCTTAACTCAGGCTGCACAGGATATCCACATATAAAACCCCAATGAAGTTGAGCTCACAACTCAAAATAACAACAATATACAAGGAAACAATTCACCCTAAGCAAAAGTCAGAAGGCAATAAATTGCAAGATTAAACTCCCAAGGACTTGAGATAATAGAATTGTCAATATAGAGACCACAAGTAAGGTATATTTAAAGACATTTAAGAGAAAGAAACGAACTGTGAAAAGTAAATAGAACGTCCGGAAATGAAAAATACAATACAGTCAGCCCTCCATATCTGCAGCTTCTGTGAAATCCACCAACTGTGGATGGAAAATATTTGGGGGGAACAAAATTTAAAAATACAAATAAAAGAAACTAACAACGATTTACATACAATTTACATTACGTTAGGTATAAGTAATCTAGAGATGATTTCAAGTGTATGGGAGGATATGCACAGGTTACATGCAAACATTATGTCATTTTGTATTAAGGACTCGAGCCTCTGCAGATGTTGGTGTCCACAAGGGTCCTGAAACCAATCCCCCCCAGATACTGAGATACAACTGTACTGGAAATTAAAAATTTAGTGGACAGATTAGTACATAGAATTAAAGAGAATGAATAAACTGTAAAATTGAAGCTGGGGGAATTACCAAGAATGAAGTAGTGATGGAAAATACGGGTTAAGAGGCATGGAAAATTGAATGAGAAGATTCAGCATATGTCTAGAAGTTCTAGGGAGGAGAGAATGCGCTATTAAAAGTTACAATGTTTGAAAATGATTAATGAAAGACATGAATCTTCAAATTTAAGAAATACAGTGGGCAGGCATGGTGGGCGCACGCATGTACTCCCAGCTACTTGGGGGGCTGAGGCAAGAGTATCACTCAAACCCAAGAGTTTGAGGTTGCAGTGACTTATGATGACGCCACTGCACTCTAGCCCAGGTGACAGAGAAAGACCCTGCCTCAAACAAACAAACCTAGAGTGAACCAAGGATAAGTAAAAATAATACTAAAGAACAACAAAAGTAAAGGGAAAAATCTTAAAAGCAACCGGACAGAAGACAGTTTACCCACACAAAAAAGACAACCTATTGGTAGAAGTTTCTATGGCGGCCATAGAAATCAGAAATAATAATATAGCTTCAAAATGATGAAGGAAAATAACTATCAATCTAGAATTTGATTTCTAGTTAAATTGTATTCAAGAATGAAAGTAAACTAAAGACTTCCAATCAAAGACCAAGAGATTTTAGGATAACAGACCCTCACTGAAAAGTCTACTGAAATAGGTGCCACATGAATAAATGAAATTGAATGAAGAAGTTAAACATAAAAGGCAATGATTAGCAAAAAGACTGGTAAAGATCCTGGCAAATGTAAGCCAACATGAACTGTATAAGACCATGTTAAATAATGTTTCCTTTGGAGGCAAAAAAAAAAAAAAAGTTAAAACCAAAATCCTAGAAAACAGTAACAGTAGTTCAATGATCAGAATTAATTTTTTTTTTTTTACTGTTTACTATTTCCAAACTTTGCCTGGTTCAGGTGAACCTTATAATAACAGGCTTGTTGCTAAGGCACCACTTTGGCATTCAGTTGCTCTCTCCAAGCTGATTTATCCATCATTCACCAGAGAAATTTAAGTTTTAATCTCCTATCCCAGGTCTGAAACTCAGGTCTGAAATCAAGGCGTTGGTAATACCATTAAGCGTCTGCAGCATGGAAAAAAGAAAGATGATTTCTGTTCTTACAAACCAGAAATGTCAAGGCCCCCATAGCATCCTACCATAGACTGTCCCGATCTTCCCCTCTACAGCATGGACTGTACTGGCATTTACTCGCACAGGTCTGCCTTCTCCATTACACTGTAAGAGCTAGGAACTCAGGGGCTGTGCCCGTGTTGTTTGCGTCTGTATCTCTAGTGCCTTGCACATAGTAGGTGCTAATATGTATAGGTTAACTTAATGTTTGAATGGTCTCATATATAGGCCTAAAGACCTGCTTAAGTCCTGCTAGTTTCTACATTTGTTGCAGAAGGAAAGCAAAACTGGTGCTGTTCTCTACCATGGCTTGCAAGTGTTCCTGGGTCCCTGATTCAGTTGGTCTGCAGAATTAGAGTGTTGTTTTTTTTTTTTTGAGACAGAGTCTCTCTCTGTTGCCCCGGCTAGAGTGCCGGGGCGTCAGCTCACAGCAACCTCAAACTCCTGGGCTCAAGCGAGCCTACTGCCTCAACCTCCTAGCTCACAGAAACCTCAAACTCCTGGGCTCAAGCGATCCTCCTGCCTCAGCCTCCCGAGTAGCTGGGACTACAGGCATGCGCCACCATGCCCGGCTAGTTTTT